GGAGAGAAAAAAAAGCTTTCCAGCAGCGAAACAAACAAATTCATGAAAATACGAAGAAAGTTTGCAAAAATACAGTAAGAGGAAATATCTTATTGTCTTCTTTCGAGCTAATTAGAGATGTGAAGTTCATGACTATTAAAGATTTAAAGCTGCTGGTGCGAGATTAAAATCATTCGACATCTGCACTAGTTTGGTTAAGAAGTGTTTTTTTTTTCTATAGACTTTCTGGCATCACATGACTGGTGATTTTCACTGTGTCCAGGAGGTAGAACGCGGTCCAAAGAAGTAGTCTCGGCCCGGTCGACCGCTGTTGTTGACGGCTGGAGCCAAAGCCTGCACTCCATACCGGTCCTTCAGGATTAGTCTGTCCTGACCTAACAGATCCCTCTCACCCTCTAACTCCTCTCTCCTGGGGCTGCATCGAGTGTCAAATGGCATTTTTAAGAATTCTGACTATTTCAGTTTTGGTACAATGTAGTATAATATAAGAATCACAGTGAGCGAGCCACTCTAAAACTTGTTAGATGCATCCCCATGTTTCCATCTCCTGGTTAACACGTTTTAGTTTCAGACATTTTAACTGTTGGATCAGCCCAGGGCTAGAAACACTAAGTGACGGTCACAGTCTCCTTTCCTCAGTCTCTGGGTCGGTGCATTAAAATCACATCCATTTCTATTAGATGACTGTTTATTTACACATATACAGAAAAAAAGTGTTTTACAGGTGCTGTTTAACCATTTCACTCCTCTGTCCAAATTTTTCTTTTCTTCATTTCTCGAAATTAGGACTCAACCGAAATTCTACATTTAAATTTTTTTTTTATTCCACATTGATTTAGCAGAAACATTGTTTTAATTCACCTCCACTTACATCCGAAACCTTTTTTTAAATTTTTTTTATTACATCTGCACATTGAAGCACAATACCCCGATGATTTCTTTGCACTTAGTGTCTTGGGAAAAAAATTGGCACTCCGACCGACTCACTGCGCAAACACTGTGCGCCTGGAGAAGATGAGCTTCACCTGTGAGCTTCTGATGAGAATGAAAAATACGCTCAGCAAAAGTCTGTCAGGAGGGGCCGCTGCTGCTGACGGGATGCATGTGGAAGCCGTGACTGTCATAGTTCTAGATATGAGACTGTTGACTGTGAATGGCTGGAAACGTAGCATCAGCATCTATATAGGCATGAATAACTTCTCCTTCACTTAATACACAATTTAATATTCCTTTAACCTGCAATCCTGCTGTAGTTTTACTCTGAAAGGGTCAGTTCACCCCCCCCCCCCCCAGAAAAACACTAAAACAACCCCCCACCCCAGTGGTATCTAACCATGATGTAGTTGTAGTTTTTTAGCTCATTGGTGTGAATCAGCTTTTAATTCTAGTGCTCAAAGCATTTAAAAAGTGAACTTTTAGAAACTCAAAAAGCAGTGATGATCTTGTTTTGTTCGATAATCCACAGAGCTTGTTGTCAACAGTTTCATTGGAAACTATTCTGTCGACAATGAGGTCTGTGAATTATTCGAAGATGATGTTATTCTCTGTTTCTGACCCAGAGACTACAGATATATATTAGCATAAATAAAATAGATAAAATAAATAAAATAAAATGGCATCGTATCTGGAAAGAGACATTGCTTTGGGGTTTTTGTTAAATGTAATTTTCCAGCATAAATTAAATTTGATTGTACTTTATTGAATTGGGGTGACAGTAGGAGTACTAGTCTCAGCATGGTTAGATACCACTAGGGGATGAGGGGTTGCTTAGTTATTCTTTGTGATGGGTGTAAACAGGCCCTTTGATTGTTGACTTAACATTTATTTGTACTGGAAGCTGCATTAGAAATTAGACTCCGCTGCACTGCGGAGTGCTGTGTGTAGTTCTGTCTCTCAGGAGTGGGTATCTATAAATCTACAGAGTTAACCAGTCACATTGTTTGGTAGTCTAATGCTTTGCATCAAATATATTATAATGTAAAAACAATTGGCAACACCATGATTACTGCATTGTAGGTGTCCAGCAAAAAATATTTTATTTAGAATAT